GGGGGGGGGGGGGGAGGTCAGCTTGAGATAGTTTCAGAAGGCGTCATCTCCCCAAAGACCCCCCCTTCCGCCTCGGGGAGCGCAGGCCCTTTTCCATCAGCCAAAACTGCAGGGAAATCGCGGCCTGGGTCTCCCCAAGGCCTGGCCTGGCCGGCGGGCAGGGGAAGGGGCTGCTGCAGCCCCGTCCGGGGGCTTGGATCTGGAGGCGAGTCCGAGCGGGGCTTTGTGGCTCCCCACACGTGCCCCCCAGACTGGCAGAGCAGCTGCCTTCAGGGGCGGGTGAAAGGCAGGGCTTGGATCTCGTGGGGGCGACGGGCCAGGAAGAGGCCCCCACCGCAGCTAAGTCCCCTGTGCTGCCATCCCGCGGCGCCAGGCCTGTGCCAGCTCCCACGCTCCCCTGCTTCCCGCCCACGCGCCCGCTCTTCTCTCGCTTTTGCGATGCTGCATGAGCCGGGCGGGGGGGCCCTGGGGGCTTGTCGCCAGCAGGCCCCAGGGGCGGCGCGCGGGGCTTGGGCAGGAGCTGGGTCTTCGCTGGGGCTGGCGAGGATCGGGAGAGCAGCCTGCATGGGGCAGGGGCGAAGCCTGCAGTGCCAGCAGGTGAAATGGATGCGAGGCAGGAGGGGAAACTGAGGCACGGGGAAAGTCGGTGGCGTGGGTTCCCTGGCAGGCCGGGCGTAGACCCGGGAGCCCACACTGCTGCAGAGCCCAGAGAGAGAGCAAGGGCGGGGAGGGCCACAGCCTCCAGATATTCAGCCCCCCGCCAGTCCTCTGCTGTTTGGCTTCTCGCTTCCCAGCATCCCGGGCCAACGGTGCCCGGTGCCAGCCACTCGCCTCCCAGCCTCAGGCATCCCGCAGGGGTGGGCCGTGTGGGTGCTGGAGGGGGCTGGGGGCTTGGGGACAGACAGGCTGCCGCGGACGGACAGGCTCTCCGGAGCGGGTGCCGGATTCCCCTCGTCCTGCGGAGATGTATCCGGAGGCTTTGTGCAGGCTTGCGAGGCTCAGGGGCACGGAGCAGTGCCCGCCCGGTGCCCGGGTCCAGCCGCAGGGCAAAATACCCCCCACTTCTGCCCCGCAGAGTCCCCTGCTTCGAGCTGAGCTCTAGTCCCAGATCTGATGGGCCCAGCAGCAGGGGCGTGGGGCATCCCCGGGGGACCCCACGCTGGCACCCTGCAGGCAGGCGCAGCCTGTGGGGCTGGGTCCCCAGTGCCCCAGGAGGCCACAGCTGCAGATGGCAGCAACGGGGCCTTTTCACCCCCGTGGCTTCGACCATTGCTCCGATGGCCGCGGGGAGCCCAGGCACGGCCCCCCCCCGCCTTGGTGCCCTCCACCCCCGGCAGCGGGAGATGGACTTATCCGCACCCTCCCGGTTCTCCGATGCCCGCACTGCGCCCCTTGCTTCTCCCCCTGCCTTAGCCCTGCAGATCAGGAGTCTGCAGGCGCTGGGCTGGCAGTGCCCCCCCGGGTGGCACTAGGGGGTGGGGGGCCGCTGCTCCACCCTAGTGCAATGCGGCTGCTCCTGCTTAGCAATCCCCTGGCTGCGCGCCAGCTTGGCTTCCTCCCTTGAGTCTCCCGCATCCCTGGCCTGCCACTGCCTGTCCCAAGAGCCAGGCCTGGCTGCAAGGTCTGCACCCGCCCAGCTTCCCCCCAGGCCTGGCAGGGTGCTGGGGCTGGGAGCATCCTCTCCTGGGCAGGGGAGGTCCCTAGGGCAGGGAAGGTGGGGCAGGGGGGCTTGGGCAGCCTGCCCGCAAGCCAGCGCCGTGCAGCTCCGAGCGCAGCGGGGCCCTCACGCCCTCTCTCTGCCCGCAGAACCCCTTCCACCTGCGCATGGACCTCCACAGCCCCCTGGAAACGCTGGTGGACGTGCTGGCCGCCGTCCTGCAAGCCAATGACTGGCACGACATCGCCCTGGTGCTCTGCCCAGCCTGGGACGTGCCCGGCTTCCTCGACGTCTGGATCAGCCGCACCCGCCTGCGCCCACAGGCCCTGCTGGACCTGAGCTCCCTGGACGAGGCGGGTGCCACCCGGGCGCTGGAGGAGCTGCGGGACCTGCTGGGCCCGGTGCTGCTGTTCGGCTGTGACGCCCAGCGCTCCCGCCAGCTCTTCCAGGCGGCCCAGGAGGCGGGCGTGGGGCCGCAGGAGCTGCACTGGGTGCTGGGCCAGCCGCTCAGCGCCGCGGAGCTGCAGACCGAGGGGCTGCCCCTGGGGCTGCTGGCCTACGGGGAGGTGGACCGGCCGGCCCTGGAGCTCTTCGTGCAGGACGCCGTGCAGCTGGTGGCGAGGGCCCTCGGCAGCGCCGTGCGCGTGCGGCCTGACCTGGCACTGCTGCACACCATGGTCAACTGCAACGACCGGCACACGGACACTGGCCCGTCCTCAGGGGAGTACCTCTCCCGGTAAGGGGGCACACGTCGCCTTGGCCCTGGGCACCGGAGTCCTGGCCTCCCATAGCTTGGGGGACCAGGAGCGAGGGCACCCATTTGGCGCCTCGGTTTCCCTGGCTTGCTGTCAGCCTCGCCACTGCCTGGCTCTGTGGCCTTGCCTGGGACACTTTGCCTGGTGCTGCCCGTCCCTTTATATCGCATGCCCTCACCCCGATGCCTATGCAGCCACACGTGGTCGTGCACCAGCACCCTGCCATGGGCACACATGTCCGATCTGAGCCGTAGTGCTACATGCCTGGGCACACATGCGTGTGCCCGATGCTCACGGGTTCTTCCTCTCCCCTGCCAGGTTCTTGGCCAACACGTCGTTCCAGGGGCAGACGGGCCCCGTGTCGGTGCACGACACGTCGGCGGTGCGCACGGCCCGGCACTACCGCCTCTGGAGCCTGCTGCAGGACTCGCTGGGCCGGCCCACCTGGGTGACCGTGGGCAGCTGGCACGAGGGCAAGCTGGCGCTGGAGGAGGGCACCTGGCAGAGCCACCTGCAGCGCAGGAGCCCGGGCGACAGGGACGGCTTCTCCCCCCCCAAGCTGCGGGTGGTGACGCTGGTGGAGCACCCCTTCGTCTTCACGCGGGCGGTGGACGAGGATGGGAGCTGCCCAGCCGGGCAGCTCTGCCTGGACCCCCACACCAACGAGTCGGCCGTGCTGGACGTCCTCTTTGAGGCACTGGGCTCCAAGAACGGCTCGCTGCCCCGGGGCCTCACGAAGTGCTGCTACGGCTACTGCATCGACCTGCTGGAGAAGCTGGCCGAGGACCTGCCCTTCGACTTCGAGCTGTACATCGTGGGCGACGGCAAGTACGGCGCCTGGAAGAACGGGCGCTGGACCGGGCTGGTGGGCGACCTGCTGAGCGGCATGGCCCACATGGCCGTCACCTCCTTCTCCATCAACTCGGCCCGGAGCACGGTCATCGACTTCACCAGCCCCTTCTTCTCCACCAGCCTGGGCATCCTTGTGCGGACCAAGGACACGGCCTCGCCCATCGGCGCCTTCATGTGGCCCCTGCACTGGACCATGTGGGTGGGCATCTTCGTGGCGCTGCACGTGACGGCGCTCTTCCTCACGCTCTACGAGTGGAAGAGCCCCTATGGCATGACGCCCCACGGCCGCAACCGCAGGAAGGTCTTCTCCTACTCCTCCGCCCTCAACCTCTGCTACGCCATCCTCTTCGGCCGCACCGTCTCCAGCAAGACGCCCAAGTGCTGGACCGGCCGCTTCCTCATGAACCTCTGGGCCATCTTCTGCCTCCTCGTGCTCTCCAGCTACACGGCCAACCTGGCCGCCGTCATGGTGGGCGAGAAGACCTTCGAGGAGCTCTCGGGCATCCACGACCCCAAGGTAGGGGGTGGGGGGCTGCCCCTGTAGTGTCTCTCATGCAGCAATGCCCCACTGGGGGTGTTTGGGTGGGGAATGGGGGGGCTACCCCTTTGCCCCCTGCAGCACAGTGCCTCCTGCTGGCCAGCGGGGGTGCTGCATTTAGCAAGGACCCTGGGAGGAGGTAGCAGGGCACCCTCAGCATAGGGGTGTGTATGGGACGTGGGGGCTTGCAAGGGGCGGGGGGCCCAGCCGGCCTGGCCCATGGTGCTCACCAGGCGCGGTCGCCCTCGTTGCAGCTGCACCACCCCTCGCAGGGCTTCCGCTTCGGCACCGTGTGGGAGAGCAGCGCAGAGGAGTACATCAAGAAGAGCTTCCCCGAGATGCACGGGTACATGCGACGCTACAACGTGCCCGCCACGACCGACGGCGTCACCATGCTCAAGTAAGAGGCCCGGGGAGGGGCTGTGCATGCACCCGCACACCGCGCGCAGGCGTCCGGCACTCCACAAACGCCCCCGATTGCTCATGTTCACCCCACTCCATGGGTTACATTAGGCCTATAGAGGCTCGGGCTGAGGTGGGGTAATAGGACCCAGCTGGCACCCCATGCCCAGCTCCCCCCTAGACCACCCCCCAGAGTCAGTGCTAATGCCCCCATCCCTGGGGCTGCAGTGACTGCAGGGGAGGCTGCCCACTGCCCAAGGCCTTGGTGAGGGTAGGGGTCAGTGAGGAGGGCAGCCTCTGCAGCTAGACCCCACCCCTTACACCCCTCTTGTGCTCTGGCCACCAGGACAGAGCCTGCCAAGCTCAACGCCTTCATCATGGACAAGTCCCTGCTGGAGTATGAGGTCTCCATCGACTCCGACTGCAAGCTCCTGACAGTGGGGAAGCCCTTTGCCATCGAAGGTGAGAGATTTGGGGGAGTCCGAGGGGGGCAACAGGGCTGCTGCATGTAGGTGCCTACAGCAGGCTGCACAGGCCTGGCGGGAAAGCCACGCCAGCCTGGACATCTCTGCCCAGCAAAGCGGCCGGCGATGGCCGAGAACTGCCCAGCTCACGTCACCCAGGAGTTCAGCTCTTCGCTGGACCCAGCATCAGGGCACGGCTGGATTTTAACCTTAGCAGCAAACGATACGCCGGTGCAGCCGGGAGGACTTTGGGGCCGGGTCTCCTCTGGAGCAGGGCACGGTCCGATGGACCCTGTCCCCTCCCTGCACTGCCAGGCCCCACTGCAGCTCTCCTTCCGCCGTCCTCCCCCAGGCTTGGAAAGCGGCATGCTCCCCCCTCGCGCTCATCCTGGGCTGGCAGGGGGCTGAGAAGCCGGTGGAGCTGCGCCGACCCCCTCAAAGCAAGCTCCCAAGTCCAGCAGCCAGCCAGAGATGCCCTGCGGTCTCACGGGGAGGGCTCCCAGCCTTGCATGCGCCTGGCTGGACTGCCTGCCCAGTGGCAAGGACGGCACCCTCGGCTTCCCCAGGAGACGGGCGATTTCAAATGGGGAGGGGGGATGCTTGGTCCCTGCCACTGCGACTGTGACCCCTCTCCCTCACCCCCGCCAGGCTACGGCATCGGACTGCCCCAGAATTCGCCCCTGACCTCCAACATCTCCGAGTTCATCAGCCGCTACAAGTCGGCCGGCTTCATGGACCTGCTGCACGACAAGTGGTACAAGATGGTGCCCTGCGGCAAGCGCGTCTTCGCCGTCACCGAGGTAGGGGTGCGGGTGGTCCCAGGGGGCCGGGGTAGATCCTTGGGGGTGATGCTCGCCTGCCCCCCCCCCATGACCCTACTGTCCTGTCTCCTGCCCAGACCCTGCAGATGGGCATCTACCACTTCTCGGGGCTCTTCGTGCTGCTGTGCATTGGGCTCTGCGGGTCCCTGCTCACCTCCCTGGGCGAGCACATCTTCTACCGCCTCATCCTGCCCCGCATCAAGAGGAAGAAGAAGTTCAACTACTGGCTGCATACCAGCCAGGTGAGCGTGGCCGGCCCCGGCTTCCCCCTCCTGCCCTGCTGCAGTGCCCGTTGCTCTGCGGTACCCCTCCCACCAGCCCCTTGGGCATGGTCATTGGCCAACCCAAGGTCTAAAGTTGGGGAAACCTTCTCTGGGGGACTCCTTCACCCTCCCATCCCACCCTGTGGGCTGTCGCGGCTGGGGTGGCTCCTCCCAGCAAACCCCCAAGGCACGAGGCTGAAGGCATGGCCACCAAAGGGGGGAGACCTGCCCTGAAGCCCATCATTGCCCCCATCCCTATGGCTCCTGCTTGTCCAATGACCGAGGTTTGGCTTCTCTCCCTGCTTGTGCGGCACAGAAAATCCACCGGGCGCTGAACATGGGCTTGGAGGAGCAGAAGAACCAAAAGCTGAGCCTGGAGAAAAGGTACTGGTTGCGGATGCAGGCCAGCCAGCCCTGCCCACAGCTTTGGGGCACTGCAGGGCAGCACAGGGGCGACTTCTGCCTTGCTCACTGACTGGGGGGCTGGATCCTTCTAGTAGGATCTCAGTAGACACCACAAGGAGCGGGAGCCCAATGCCCAGCCCCCCTGTCTTCCCTTGAGGACTGTGGCTTAGAGTCAAGGTCCCATCTCATCCAGCCCTCTGCTCAGGGCTTCAGCCCGGGCAAGCATCGAAGGACAGCCAAGGCTGGCACTTCCCTGCTGCTCTGGGCAACCTGTTCCAGCCCGACCCCTCTCCCGTCTGTTTCCTTTGCTGCATTTTGAGCCCATCACTCCTGGTCTTGGCGATAGCTCATCGCCACCTTCCTCAAAGCAGTCCTTCAGGGGTGGAAGGCTGTCCGCGTGCCTGTAGCTGGGGGAATTGCTTTCTGAAAGGGAACCCAGAGTCTGGGCCCATGGGATGAGGCAGCTTCCTTCTTGCAGGGCAGCAGTCAAGGGCACAGGACCCCTAACCTCTTTCCATCTTCCCCTGCAGCTGCAACGTCCAGAAGAGCCAGGAGCCCCCGCTGTGCCCCCCTAGCCAGCCCAGCTGGAACAACCTCCGGAAGGCGGCAGGGAAGGAAGAGAAGCGGGTGCACTTCAACCTGGCGAAGGAGCCTGCGGAGGCAGAGCCGGGCCAAGAGCAGGAGGCGCCCGTGTGGCACTGCACGAACGGCCGGGCCCCGCAGCAGGAGGCGGGGGACAGGGAGGCCGAGGCGGCCGAGCTCAAGGAGCTGGAGGAGAGGATCAAGGACATGAGGGACCAGCTGCGGGCGGCGCTGGTGAGGAAGAGCGAGCTGGTCGTGGCACTGGGGCCTGCTCCGAGCCGCCACGCGCTGCCTATCAGGGCCATCACCAAGAAAAGCACGGACAGGTAATGGTGTGGGCCTGTGGCATCCTTGGCACCGACTCCTGCCGGGCACAAGCAACCTTCCTGCCTCTACCCGAGCCTGGCCAGGAGGAGGCAGGTAGCACAGACCTACCCGCAGCTTGCTCGCTCACCTTGCTTTACTCTTTGCAAAGCAGGTGGGACCCACATCCTGCCCCGCTGCGTTACGGGCAAGCAGCCGCTTCTGGCTGTTAAACCCCCCCTCAGGAGTAAGCATGCAGAGCAAAGCAGGCCTCCATTCACAACGAGCCCCTTGTCCCTGGTTTGGGGGGAGGTCCTGGGCCTTCTGCAAATGTATTCCTCCTCCCCTTCTTTCCCCCAAGCCAGGTACTTTGGATAGCAGCTGTCGACTTTCAGTGAGGACCCATTTCCCCCAGGCCCAAACCACAGGTCTTCCATTTTTAGGCCCCGCATGGAAAAGCATCAGAGAAACCAATAGGTCTCTTTCCTTCCAGCTCCAGCCCAGAAAGCAGGCAGCCTCGTGTTCAGGGCAACGTCCCCATCCCCTCCCTGCAGCGGAGGCTCCCTGCACACAGCAACAAGCCGCTGTGAGAGATGGTTCTTACCTCCGTCCCTTCATTGCAGGCGCCAGAAAAGCCCCGGCTCTGCCTCGATGGAGGGCTCAGGTAGGTGCTAGCACTCGTCAGGCCATGCAAGTAATGGGGCAATCGGCTGCTAGCATACTTAGCAGTTGCTCGAGACTCAAAATTAGTGGATCAGGAGAAAGTGCAACTGAGGACATATGTACAAGCAGCCTCAAGCCAGGGGCTGAGTCTTCCACAGAGGGGTCCTGCTTTGCAGAAGTGGAGGGGCAATACTCCCCCACTGGGGTTGCGCCTCAGCTCTGCCCTGGGCAGGACCCCTTGTCTCTGTGCCTCAGCTTCCCCCTCCGCAGCAGGGGGACAGACCCTTCCCCTACCTCGTAGGAGTGCTGTGAGACCCTTGTGCGCTAGAGATGCAGCAGTGGCTCACTCAGATAAAGACGCTGCCAGCTAAATATGTTCAAACCCGCACTGGACCCAGGAGGTGATCGCCAACCGCCGGCTAGACCCCAGCATGACTGATAGCAAGGTAACCAGGCCCAGCAGCACTGCTGCAGCTGTTAGATATAGTATTTATTATATATACAAACACCTTTTGTACATTAATTAAATAGAATGAACTCTACTCTTCATTCAGCAAATGATTCGGTTCCTTTCCCCACTCTCCCCGACGCGTGCCCTCTGTGAAAAACCCTACAGCTCTTTCTGCCGCCTCGTGCCGACACTTCTGAAGCTCTTAGGCAGAGTTTAGCTGCCAACGAGCTGCATCGGCAGAGGGGGAAGGTATATGGGTTTGCCCCTAGGGACGTGCAGGTCACTAATGCACCCTTCTCCCCAGCTCCTTGGCACTGATGGACACCTAAAGCCAGGCTTCCTGGGTGGGAAACACCAAGAAAATGAAGGTCTCTGGTTGAAATCCCTAGCAGCGGGCTAGGTGTCCTGCAGCCCCAGGTGCTACAGCCCACCTCTGTCTTGGTGCATAAGCAGCAGGAGGGGAGAGGAGGTCTGCCCTCACCTGCACGAATGTGGCTGTGTTCCTGTGGATGAGGCTACAGCTACCGGGCATTCCCACAGCATCGTCTCCACGTCCGAGCTGGCTCTGCCCCTCCTAAGAGTGGGGGCTAGAGCCCCACGATAGGCCTGCCGCCGGGGCCTTTCCATGCACCATCTCTCCCTCTTGGTGCCTTGCTGGGGGAGATGTTCCTGTGAAGCAGAACCCACTTGATCACATGCACGTGGCTCAAGCCAGGCCTCATGTACCATGTCACCTCCTCCAACTCATCAGCACCAGAGTGCCAGCCAGCCTTTGGAGCCACCTCTGCCTGCTCCTGTCCCAGTTCCCCACCACCAAGGCAGGACTGGGGGAGGTTTGCCTGAAATTTGTTCTAAGCTTTAGTGTTGCGGCTCTTCCTGCTCCCACTGACCCACGCAGAACAAGGGTTCTTGACCTGCAACGACTCCCTCCCTCCTGCTGGCCTCGCAGCAAGAGGGTTTCTAGACTCAGGGAAGGGACTGATCTAAGGATGCGATGGTGTCCCGCTCACAGGACAAGGCACTGAAAAACAAGCGAAGCCACTGAAGCAGCAGCTAAGTGTCAAGGGGTACCGGGCAGCAAGACTGCAGTGCACCAGCTTGCTGGATGGCTGTCTTGCACTTGTGAAGCTGCACACTGGTTTCTAGCTATCACCTGCCTGGCACTAGCTGCTCTGCACGTTGTTGAGGCCGGGTTCCTAGAGCCCTTGCCGTAAGAAAGGAGCTGGGTTTGGGCAGACTCTTCCAAACATGCCCCTGGGCACGTGCATCTAATCCAGGGAGGAAGCTCTAGCTGAGACACCACTCTTGCACTCACAAAACCAGATAGGAAAGTAACCTCATTATTTGGTTTGTTGGTTGCTTTTTTTTCTTCTCTTTTACTTCTGCTCTCACCCCTCCAAAAATAAGCCAGGCAACTGCAGAGGGAAGAGGCCACAAAATGATCCTCAGAGACAGATGAGGTTGAACCCAGCTTCTCACTAGCGTAATTAAATCTGGTACAGGGGAAGGGAAAATCTTGCTAACACAGTCCCCTCCACCTTGAGTGGATCTCTAGAGGAAACTTTACCTGCAGCCTGTTGTCAGATGACTGTGGCTCAACTGAATGGGCAGCAGAATCAGCCCTTACACCTGCCACGGCTTTCTAAAAATTGGGGAAGATTCTGCCTTTGTGGCAGCCAACGTACACCACCGCTAAAGGTGTCAACCCCCCACGCACACCCCGTATCCATGGGGCCACATGACGAAGTCACCAAGGCCCTGTCAAACACTGCCAGAGTACAGATGTAGCATCCACCCAGCTTCTTAGAAGCTCTTGCAATGGAAGGAAACTGCTCTTGGTTTCAGTGAGTGGCTTCAGAAGACCGCCGAGGTCTGGTTTTCCACTCCTGCCAGTAAGCCTCCCCCAGCCTCTACGCCCATCTCCAAACGGGCTGCGTTTGATGCGACGCCTGCTTGGTTTTGGTTGAAACCCAGAAGGAAAAAAAAAAAAAGGAGTAATTCTATCGCAAACTGGAGGACGCTGGCAAAGGCAAACAGGGCTGGGGAGTACCACAGGGAGCCCTCCCTCCTGAGAGCTGCCCACCCTCCTGGGGTTTGAGCAGGGAGACCTGTAGTGTGACACCAGAGAGGCAAAATGACCAGCGCTGGAGCTCTGTTTGCCCACAGTGCAAGAGAAGCGGGGCTTGCTCTGAAGAATGGCTTCTCTGGATGGCTGGCTTCTCCCTTGCTGCAGGGGAGGCTGGAGAACAAAAGACCCCAGGCTTATCAGTCCCTTTTGTTCTCACACATTTACTTTCTGGGGGGAAATTTCCTGCACCATTGCTCTGCCCCAAAGGCTGTGCTTCCACTGAGAGGAATTACGGTTGGGATGGTGAGATGAGAAACAACAAAAGAAATCCCTTCCAGCCCGCCAGGAGTCCCTGAAGGAGAGGACTCAAGACAGGCTCCCATGGTCTGGGTCAGAGCAGGCTGTCCCACCAGCTGCTGCAGGGCACGTGCTGGTCTCCCCAGGGTTCCCACTACTCACATCCAAATGCTGGAGCAGTTCAGTACCTGACACAGAGGCCCCCAATGTCTCTGCCCGGGTGCTGCTTGCAACACAGTCCTTGCCACTCTGCTCTGCTTGGCTGAGAGACCCCTCTGCAGCCTCAGTTTGCTTGGGGAAGGCAGGACTGGGGACAGGGGCTCCATCCTCCTGCACTGGGGTAGGGGGAGCAGCGGCAAGAGGGGGAGCCGGTGCGTCTTCTGCAGCAGCAGGCACGGCTGGCGCAGTCACCACTGGAGGAGTCGAAGTGACCTCAATCGTGATAGAGCCACCAGCAGCCTCTGGACGGTCGCTGCTGACTCGAATTCGGGCTAGCAAGCTCGAAGCAGCAGCAGCTGCATCCTGCGGGCTCCCATTGGCCATGGCTTCGTGCACCATGTTCGGCTCCAAGAGGCTCAGGTCAGACAGGAATGAGGCTTCCGTAATGATGGCGGCCGTCTCGGCTACCCAGTTCAGATCGCTCGCTATGGCAGAGGTGGTCGCAGCGGCGCCAGCCCCCGGGCCCTCACCGGCAGCCAGAGAGATGGGGCTGCTGCTTTCAACAGAGGGACCGGTGGGCAGGTGGGGCCGCCTGGTGCCCACGTCAATGGGTGCAGCCGTGGTGTTGTTGTTGAGGTTGTCTTGCAGCGTGGTCTGGGTGCCCTGACCCACCTGCTGGTTCTGCAACAGCATCTCCTGGATGCGGATTTGCTGGAGGATTGCCGGCAGCTCATAGTGGTGGAAGAAGTAGATCATGGAATGCTGGGGACCCAGAGGGAAAAACTTTACCAACCCCCAAGAGCAACCACAGAGACAGCAGCAACACAAGCTTCCCCTGCCATGACCCGCAGGTCTCACTGGGGTAGGGGTGGGGGGATGGATGCACCTGCATTTGCCCCTCCCCCATCCTTGACCTCCACATCATATCTTCCTCCCCAGGATGTCACCGGAGAAGTTGGTTTAGGTTCTGCTTACAGACCAGGGGTGGATCCGAGGGGGATGGCATGCACTGGTGCAATTGCACCCACTTTCACTCCTGCTCCACCCAAAGTTTAAAATCAATGACCTAGCAGGGGCAGCAGTATCTCTGTTCAGGCAGCAGTGAGAGCATCAACTGAATTCATGGCTCATTAAAATCTACCCAATTTCTTTGCTCCAGGTGTTCACGACCTTCTCCTTTTTCACTGTCTCGCTGTTCCACCAACCAAGCTAGCCTTTCTTCTGCAATTCTGCTAACTGCTTCTGGTAATGTAGCTCCTAGGTCACAGCCATGCACACTGCTTTTAACTCATTCCAATAACATTGTATTTGTTTTTGCTTCCATCAAACTAAATAATACAGCACTGGGCCCCTAACATGAGTAAAGCTTCTAGTTTCTTTTTACTTGAAGAAAATGTGCGCTGTGTTATATGGGATGATGCGCCTCACCATGTACAACCCCCTTTTCAAAATCCTAGATCCGCCCACGGGATCTTCTGTGAGCCCTACGTCTCACTCCCTCTTCCTCTGCCACTTGGCAGCTGTCAAAGCAGGTTTTATACCAAGACTAAGTCACAGGTGGATGGAAATCAGTGATCTGGAAATCTCACTGCATCTCGGTGGGTTTGAGAATGTTGCCTACCCTTTACCTCCCCTGCTAAGGGGAACATGTGCAGCAGTTGTTTAAACAAAGGTTTTGTTCAAACTAGGTTGTGTCAGTTTAGAAAGCCTAACTTGTGATCAACAATTGCTTACAAGCAGTTCATTTTATCTATGTACATCCATCCGTACTGCATGAGCCAACTGACCAGCTGCTGACTAGATGGTTTAAGTGCCAACCATCCCCTCTTACACATCTGACATGACTAGAGGTGGAATTAGCCGTACACCATCGAACACGCTCTCATGATCAGCAGAGCAAGGCTGCTGCTTACCTGGATGAAAAGCCAGGAGGTGACCAGAGCCAGGCTGCTGTACTGTCCGTTGAAGCGGTAGTGGTAGGCATAGAAGGCAAAATGGTACAAGTAGAAGAACCTGGGAAGAAAGGAGACAGTGAGGAAGAGGGGGCTCCACCAAGAGATCCCACACGTGTCTCCACCCTGGGGAGAGGTACTGCCTAGGGAACAAGTGTGACACCTCCTTTAAAAGAGCAGCCAGGCTCTCCCAGTCTGAACTGGTGCTCAGTGCAAACAGAACAGGTGAGGACTGGGCAAGCAATTGAAGGATGTGGTTTTTGCGGCAGATTTTCTACGAGTTACAAAAGAGCAATAGGGGAAAGCAACTGGGTTATAGACTAAGCGCTTGAGTGAGGATCCTAACAACGTCCCCCTACTACATAACAGAGCAGCATGTTGCAACAGAGCAGCATGTACAATGTGCACAGCAAGGCGATGGCAACAGGCATGTTACAAGGGGAAGAATGAGTATCTCTTACCTGAGCCAGTGCCTCTTGCTAGTGTTAGTGTGGCAACAGATGGCGTCGTACTGATCAGCCAGCCACACAATGAGGATGATGTAAAATGCAGTGGTGGTGTCATTGAAGAACTCCGACATGATGGCCTCCATGCCTGCGGGAGGCAAAGAACCCCAACATCAGCAAGCAGACAAAATAAGCCCTGCTGGCCTTTCTCCAGCATTAAGGGGGTACCTGGAGCAGGCTACCTAACAACAGGGGCTGAGGCTATGCTTGCTGGATGACAAAGCCAAGGCCCCAGGGCACAGCTGTCCAGGCCTGACTGCACTCTTTCCTTAGAGCAGAGGATTTGCTGGCTTTGAGCATGGCACAGGATATTAAATACAGTTTTGCAGGTTCAGGACAAAGCTCAGAGAAGTGAGATATTGAAGTGGATTGGATCTGTCTGTCCCGCATACTGACTCTAAGACAGCCCCATCCCCAGTGTGCACAGCTCAGGCAGTGCATGTTAATCTTGACCTCCAAACCCCCTTGCTAGAGCAATCTTAACTGAGGGAGGATGTGTTACTGGCAGACAAGACCAAACCACTCAGGTATAGTTTTGTGGGGGGGAGCAGTTACCATGTTCCACCGACTCTACACTCTGTAGTGAGTGGACAGAACATCACCCCACAGCAAACAAGCTAAGACACTATACTGTGAGTCCGAGTAACACTTAAGGGTACTTTTCAGATCTACTGGGGGTTCCCTTTTAATAACACAAGGAATAAAGCCCGGTTCTTACCTACTAGAGCCAAAATGACAGTGAGTAAGGGAGCAGCAGGGAATGCAATGGTCATGTTCATTTCCAGCATCTGCAACAGGTCCACTGCAGGAAGAAAGGCAAATATGATACCAGGTGACTGACGGGCCCTCCATCTCCCCCAGCAGCTCGGAGCACAGCAGTAACATGCCATAAACTCTGCTGTCTTTAGTCCAGCACACCAGATTTTCCACAGAGGGGCTGGGCATGTCCCATGAGGGAGGATTACAGTATTTTTCCAGTGGGGCTGTATGCAGAAATTCATACGAGGGATTATACAGGCACGAGGAACTTCCAGCTTGCAGTTTACAGTGCATTGTGGCCAAACTGGAGCAGGCAACAGGTCTAGCAAGCCCTGCCCTGATCCTAGCCAATACCCATTGCTTCACAGGATATGAGATTCCCTCATAAAGCACCAGGGAGCAGTGCTGAGCACATGGGAGCTCTGTATCCAATGCATTCAGCTTGCGGATGTGCGTTACCAACCCCACAGTCAGAGAGACGAGAGGGGAATGGTGACTGGCTCTGGTCCAGTCCATTATTCAGACATTAAGAGTCAGAACAGGGCCCTTGAAGACAGTCCATCTGTCAGAAGATTTAGGGCCAAGCTCTTGAGTGTAAATGGAAAGAACGCTAGAAATCAATGGCCCTTTGTTTACATCAAGCCTGATCCTGGTCCTGGTTAAGAAGCATCTCACTCCAGATGGTAGTTTTGCCAGGCCATGCCATGCCATGCATTGTCTCAGCTCTAGAGAGCAGATTCCCTTCTCTTGTCTGCCGTCTCAAGTAGCATCACTCCAGTAAAGACATCAAGGTATTCCCTTGCTCTCCAAAAGCAACGGACTTTCTCTGAGGCACAAAACCCATCATGGAAACAGAGATATGGAAACACTTACCAATGAAGACAAAGATCTGATGGTGAGAGTAGCGCAACAGCATGGAGACGGACAGAGTCTGAAACGACAGGACAGAAGTCAGCATTAGCCCTAGATTGTTCCAAGATGCTTGGCCTTCCCACAGAGTTGTGACAGGGCAAAGAGTTAAGGAGGATGGACTTTACTGGCTTAAAATGGCCTCACAATGTTTTGGCATAAGCTGTGCAGGAGATGACTAGACAGGCCTTAAAACACACGCACCTGTTAAAAAGAATGTGTGTGTATTGTTTGTGTGCAGGTCTCAGCACAACATTTACTGTACACTTGGCTCTTTTTTCTCTATTTCAGCCTCCTTTGCGCACTGGTTTCACCTCAACAAATTCTTGCATTTACAAAAAGATTCCAAGCGCAGTCATGTCTTCAGTTAGTTGGGCTTCAAAAGCAGCTGTGGCATCTTATGCTCACACACGTTTAGGAGGCATACTACAGTCCAGCACATTTCAGCCCTTACATCAGTGCTGAGACGTCTCAGCCCAGATACTGAGGCAATGCTTATATTTCTCCCTACTTACGAAAATGACCATGATGACGAAGGCTGCCAGGTACGATGTCCTGGCCATCCACATGCTGACAAAGCGGTAATGCTCCCCAGACACCACGTTGCGAAGGAAACCTGAAAGGATGTGGAAGTCAGTGTGATGAACACTACGGGATCAGCTGAGCTTCCAAGGTCCAAGGAGGACTCAAAGAAAGAAACCACAATCCCTGCTCCCTGCCACTGCTTTCACTCCATGCTGGACAATAAAGCATTGGGAAATAGATGTGTGGTTGTCCTCTCTGCCTTCCCCTTGTTTCTTTTTACCTACCTCATGCTAGTGCACCCAGGGGCAGAGGAGCTGTTCCAGTAAACAGCCAGAGAATGCCATTCATGCCCCCACAGAAAAAGCAGTTCCCTTGAATGGGTACAAACAATCGAGTCCCCAATGCTTTTACCTTTATTCTCTTCGTTTTCAGCCAACGCTTTCACACTGGACATCAGAATGTCGTCATAGCCCAGGAACTCATCCAGCAACAGGCGACTGAATCTGTCTCCGAAGCACTGGTCCCTGGTGGGATCTGGACAGAAGACAAAGAACATTTGTTCTGTTCAGAGGTCAAAGCACCGAGTGGGAAATGCCACCATTCATTCCTGGGTGATTTAAAAGGTTTGCTAGTGCAGCTATGTGGTCAAGTCCCTTGTAGAGATGCAGCTCACACCAGTTTCTCAAGCAAAATGAGTGGTACCAGCAAAAGGATCTTTTCGCCAGATTACCTGCATCTGCTGGGGTGTGGCAAAATGGAAAGGGGACAGAGCGACAACCTTCTCAAGTGACATAGTTATATGGGCAACACTTCAGCATAAATCTGGCTTCAACATTTACACTGAGCCCTGTCAGATGCTCCATGCTGCAATATAGACAAAGGATTCTGTTCTCAAGCTTTGTCTCTGCCTCCTTCAGCCAAGAGAGAGATGGATTTGCTCTTATTAAGCCTGGGACAGGTTTGGCCATGTGGCTGGGACAGTACTGAGGAAACAATAGCTCGGGGGAAGGGAACAGGTGATTTGAGCAGCTCTTCGATGAGGCAGAAGAAATCACAAAATTGGATGCCTATCCTATTAGCAGCAATGAGATTCAGAATTAATGCAGCCAAGCCTTACAGTACGAATGACAGCGACTATCTCTTTGTGCCCCTTTGTTCCTCCAGGCACTATTAAAAGTTTCACAATTCCACCGCACAAGCAGCTACAGTGATGAGATGGACACAAATGACAGGACATCGCTGCATAAAAATGCAAAGAAACTAGGTAAATATATGGAATCAGGTTACCAGGCACCCAGATTCCAGCTATACGAAAAAGCACGATACAAATACAGGCCATATTTTGTAAGGCAGCTAGAATGCTTAGGTAGGAATCTGAGCTGAACCTGAAGGTCGAGGAAAAAAAAAAAAAACAACCACCCCCAGCTTTTAATACAGAAGCCATGTATAAACCACCCAGTGGTCACTTAAAATTGTACAGCAGAACCATCCTACTGCTTTCATGACATGATTCTGATCAGGCTAGTTTCATTACTGCCCATCATCTGGCATCTGATTAGTTAAGAAACTTTGTGCCAAAAATCATAAGTGGGAACCTTTTACTTGACAACAAGGCAGAAGAGAATGAGGCCACAAGAGAGAGGAAAAAAAAGACTGCTACTAAGTGGCGTGCAAAACTGTTCAGAGACTAATACTGATACTGAGCAAACGTGCTCAGCATGGTCTCCAACACGGATGTAACCACTCTCAACAAGAGGCACTGCAGCTGTGATGGTGCAGATGTATACTGTATCATACGTGTCTTGAGGCTGCAGGCCATTTTGGCCCCAGCCTCTGAAATTCAGAGTAAAACAGGTAAACCTGCAGGAGAGATGTTCAGATTGACTTAGCAGTTGATACCTTGATATTTTCTTCCTGTAAAGGGAGGAGGGGGGGGAAAACTATGCTGGGAAATAACATTAGGACTGCTTAGCCTCATGCTGATGCACTGCCCCAGCATCACACTGGACAGGCACTTCTTCTAGATACTGTTTTCTACTCTGAAGAAGTACACCTTCCATCACTGTAAAGCCTTTCTGCAATCACCCAGGCACCTCCTGTACTTACCCAGCGTCACCACCATGACCGGGATGCTCAGGCGCTGACGGGTGCTCTGAGACAGGCGTAAGAACCCGTACTCCAGAGAATACTCCACAATGTACTCTTCCTGTGGCCACACTGCAAGAGAGGATGTGAAAGCTCAGCAGCAGGGCTTGGCAACTATTACCACAAAAATCCACAATATGCCCCAGCCCCACCATACAAAGTCCCTCCTTTGCCACCCTCACCAAAAAAAACAGACCACGCCCCAACCTGCCTTTTATCAATGTAAAGCTTTGGTTGTTCTCGTTTTCCTAAATATTTCTCTAACCACAACAATGCAAACTCTTTACTACCTTTCCCAGCACCGTTCAGCATGGTACACATGCTTCAGTTTGTATCAATCACAGGTTTTGGGGAAATCCACTTGCCTGCTTCAGAATGGTACAACAGTCAAAGACCTGCACGCTTGCTTTGAATTGAAGGCATTGAAAGATGCTGTATTTACAGTCCTGGTACCTACAGTCCTTTCTACAAGGCCTGAAATTTTCTAAGATGCCTGAGGGAAGTATGTACCTGATATCCATAGGCTCCCCACTGAAGATCCCAGCCAAGACAGCCGTAACAGAGGCCAGAGTGGTACCCCCAACATGATTGGACCAGTCTGCCTCATCTCCTTGCCGTAGGGAGTAATGTCAGGTTTACTAGTATCTCTGCACAAAGATTCCCCCCGCACAGCTGGGTGGATATGCTGCTTATGAACCCACCAGCTGCCCATTCACTCGCTTCATCTGGCAACCAAGCAGCCTGCAGCAGATACAAGTATGGAGCTGCTCTCATCTGACAGGAAGCTAACCGCAACATTTAAATAATGGCTCCGAGATGCTATTCCGACCCTCACAGGAAAGCAACACTCCTGGTCTCTTTTTTTCTCCCGCTGCAACTGCTGGATGGGGGGTAAGTGCACGAAGACTGGATCAGTGCTGAACCACACACTGTCCTTTGTTTGGTTTCCATCGGCAAGGAATCTGTCTGCGGCTCTTTAGAGCTGACCAGGATGCATAACTCAAGGTCCATTACTCACTCTGCCACCTTCACTTCACCTCCATGCCTCAACTGAAAACTGGGAGTAACTAACCCTGGGTCTCAGGAGGCTGCAAGGTTGAATCCATTCGTCTTTCCAAAGAGCCTTAAAAACCATGAAGGAAGAAGCAGCAGAAGGGCAAAATCTATGAGCCTATAGAGACATCAGCTTCAGAAGCAGCCAGCTTATGGCTTCAGCCAGAAAGCAAGGAACAGAAACTCAGCCCCCGCCAAGACCCTGTTTCCATTCAAATTCTCTAGTAATAAGAAGTGACAGATCAGCATTAGCCATTTAACAGACCATTGGCGCCTGTAGGAAAAGCTCCAAAGAGATTCTATTTAGAAGTGAGGCTGCTTACGGGATTGCCTTCTGCAGATTAGACAGCGAGGTTTTTAAAAGACTGAATGGTGAGAGCTTAAAAGGTTTCCTATCAGGAGCACAGCTGGACCCAGGGGATGCCTGGGCCGGGGAAGAGCGCTGATTGCTGGTACAGGACAACTGGTGTCTGTTCTGACAAGCTGGCCATTTACAATGGTAGGGATTTGCTATGCTTTACACACTGGCTCTGGAAAGTTTCCTTGCTCTCCTGGCCCTGTGCCCACGACGCTGGAAGCTGCTCAGCCGCTAAGCCGCTCACTGCTCAGTCCTCAAGTGACCTCTTGCTGCAGCCCCTCTTAAGCTGTTCAAGTTTTCCTGGCAGACCACCCCGAGCCCATGACAACAAAGTCCTTAATGAGACTTCACAGCAGAGCGACGAGGGCACTGGTCCCTTCAAACACTGCCCAAGTGAAAGGTTTTTGCTCTGTACACCTTTTACTTTAAAAGCTATTTTCCCCCCTTGTTACAACAGCAACAAGTTTCTTGCCTCTTCATATGGTCTTTGGCTACAATTAAGTACGGTATCACCACAAAAAGAACTTTCCTGGTAAAACCAGCTTAAAAATCAATAACAAAAGGAAATGCATAGCTCTGCAATGGTCTGAAGCAGCACAGCAGCAAGGGCCTTTCTGGAGAGGAAAGGAAGTGATGTTGGCTAGCTTTAAGTCACAGATAGAGCCATTAAGCTGTGCATTTCACACAAGTGCCAAACTCTGAAGACTTGTTTCCATGCGGCAGGGAACAGGCAAGCCTCTCTCACTGCGATATGCATCACATTCAAACGGTTCCTCTTGCCTGTTTGGTCCTTGATGTCTCTGCAGACAGTGCAGTGGGGATTCTGTTTCAGGGTCTGATGCTTCAAAGCCCTGAACACGTACAAAGGATCCTGCTCAGACGTCCCCATGTGCTTGTACGTACTCCAAGGCAACTGTGGATGAACCTGCATGTCTTAGGAACGCTGTCAAAGTATCCTTTTGCCTCCGACTGCAGCAGGCTTCCCACACAGGAGGAGCAACTCTTCTCTCAGACTGACAGGTATACACAGAGCTGCCAACTTCTTTTCCCAGGGCAGAATTTAGCACATCAGAAGGCATCGACCCATGCAAACTACATCTGACTCCACGGTTTATGCTAATGCGTTGTTTTAAGTTCAAACACTGCATTAACCTCATTATAAATGTATATTTTGGAGCCCCCAAAAAGCTTAAATACTTGGTTCAAAGCTGCCTTCTTCAAAGTTGATTTTTCAGTTTTGAAGCTTCCCCAGGTCTCATTGCTTCAGTCAGGCCTGCTGGTTTTTGCCACAATCAGCTCACATCTCTGGAGTTAGGAGTTCTCGGGAGACAGGAGCTGCGGCTGCTTCCACATACGCCAAAGCCAAAGGCTGGAGCAATTAGGGCATTTAAAAAAAGCTTCGACATCACTGCTCTGCCTGCCTCAAGTGTTGTTGGGTTTTTTTTTAAGTGAAGGTTTGAAGTTGATACCGTCTGCTGTGATGGCCCCAAGACAAGAAAAATCCCCTGCTAAGTAGTAGCCAATCAATTTAATCTGAGATCTTTCAAACTGTCACACCGTTTCTTCCCAGAGGGTACGCGAAGAGAGAGAGTTATGCTTCCCACAACGAAAATATTTTAAAATGACACAAGCCATAAATCATGTATAAGAAATGCAGCTTTCTTATAAGCGATGCATGAATAAAAGACTTTTCAACAGAAAACGTACAGCTCCTTCTCTCTGTTGTACCGGGCAAGAAAAGCAGACCGGCCAGAGTTTTCACATTCATTCCCATTCACTAGCACAACTGCTTTCAGTTCATAAAGGCTGATAGAGCACTTCAATCTCAACCCAAGAGTTGCTTGACCGTGAACACATTTTTAAAATGCATTTTATCCAAAGACCAAATGTGCAGTTTAAGCTGTGGCCCTCCACCAAAGAAGGTAGACAGGCAAGGAAGACTGCTTCTAGCTACATCCCTATAAGCCTGCTTGAATGATGCACTTTATTATGACATTGCAAAGAGATGAATAGAACAACCCACTCTCCCCCCTCCCCGCCCCGTCTCGCTGGATCATTTCCACTTATGACTCAGCAAGACGCATTCAATGTACAAAAGATCTTTCAAAGGACTTCTGTGCAGTCCTTTCTAACAGCACCAGAACATGTTTACATGTATTCCAGAGTTTCAAGTAAGGACATGATCCTGATCACCGATGGAACTATTCATTAGTTTGCCACTTGGTCTGGGACTAATTAGTCCTGAATTCACAAAAAGCACTACAAGACCTAGGGAACAATGACCATTTTGATGTTAGAGCTCACCCTACAGCTAGAAATAACCTTTTATACTGCTGGATGAAAAAAAAAATTTCCAGTTCTCTAATAGGTGTCAGGTATCCAGGTTGTAGCCATATTGGTCTAGTGGCAAAAGCAATCAAGACTCATGGTAGAGGTGATCTCTTTTATTAGATCAACTAGATTTTTGCAAAAAAAAGTCTTTAAATCGCAAGCTTTCTGGCACAAACACCCTTCGTGAGGCAATGAACGGTGTTTCTGCCCAAAAGCTTGCAATGAAAGAATTTTTTTTTTTTGCAAAAATCTAGTTGGTTTAATAAAAGATACCAGCTCTACCACGAGTCCTGAGTTCTCTAACAACGCACTTGCTTTCGCTAAAAAGTGAAAACTTAAAATAAAACTACAGGACAATTCATATGCTCCTGTTTTAACCCACAGATGATATTAAACCTTGAAATCCAACACAGCAGACACCAATGTTATGCTCTCTATAAGCCCAGGTCACAATGTAAGAGACAAGAAACCATTATTCTTTTCCTTGAGGTCTGTTATATATTAGCATCTCAAATCAGGTTGTACATCTTGAGTAATATCAGAGCCTCCAGTCCATCAAGGATACGGCACTAAAGATGTCTGCAGGACCAATTTGTTATGTTAAGAGCTGTTTCTGGATGAGGGGTCAGAAAACCCCTGCAAATGCCACTGAGAATATCAGAGCCACTGGACTTTCTAGCAGCTCTTCTAGAGAAGAATCAAACATGGGGCCATGCAGCTTGTGGAAAAGGAATCACTGATTCACCTCAAGTTGCAGCAAGGGAAGTTTAGGTTGGATATTAGGAAAAACTCTCACTTGGAGGGTGGTGAAGCACTAGGATGGGTAGAATCTCCACCCTTAGAGGTTTTTAAGGCCTGGCTGGGATGATCTAGTCGGGGCTGGTCCTGCTTGGAGCAGAAGGTTGGACTAGCTGTGACCTCCTGAAGTCCCTTTCCACCCTCATTTTCTATGATTTCTACTCCAGCTGCTAGCAGAGACAAGATAAAACTTGATAGCTTAACAGGCCATTTGGTTATCAGTGATGCCTGCCACAGTTCACATATCAGAATCAAGACCTGTTCATTACGGTAACAACAGACATAAGTAGAGGTCCCCACAGTGCTTCCCTTTACCAGCCCCTTCCCCCCGTCCCTCCAGCAAAGAGAAAGTTCTGCAGGTCCCAAAGTAAGCGCTTGAAACCCCATTTGAAAGCCACAGGAACACCTGGAAAATTAGTCAAGAGGCTATGCAAGGAGCTGGAGCAGGCGAGGGGTAGGTAGGAGAGGTAGAGGTAGGCAGAGGAGGCACAGGCACCAGGCAAGGAGGGAGCGTGGAGAACAGCAGAAGTGGTCTTTACCTGCTCTCGCTAGCATCTCAAACTCGGACACGGTCTCACTCAGCGGCTGCATACCTTTAGTGGGCGCCTCGCTAAAGGAGAACTCCTGGCTTTCGTTGTGGGAGGCCTGGGTCAGCCCCTCCGTGCTGCTCACCCGTGATGGCTTGAGGAACACCTTGGGCTCGATGTCCAGCTCAAACTGTTGAAAGAGCAATAAAATTAAACCAACCACGATCTGGTTTCTGAGCAGTTAATGAACCCGAGACGCAAGAAGCACTGAGGAAGGACAGACAAAAACCTACAAACATTTTATTCACGTTGTTAATCCAGGGGGGCTATGAATTGCAAGGAAGCAGCTGGAGAGAGATTTGCTCTGTTTGGAACTGGCTGAAGGTTTCTAGAGGGACTGAGCCAGCCAAGGGTGTTCGGGGTAATTACCCTCTGAAGACTGATGGTGTCCCAGTGGACTGCAAGGACAGAAAAAGCTGCATTATGTTAACAACCTGCGCGATCACAGAGAAACAAACAGACAAGTGGTTGGTACAGCAGCACAAATTGCCAGAAAGGTGTTCACTAATTCTTTAGTCTCGTCAGAACTGGATGTCTCCCCTTCCAAAAGTACCTCTGCTCGAGGTCCAGGATGGCAAGATTCAGGCCCCAGCTAACAATGGCTTTTCTATGCCTGTAAAGGGCCCTGCTTTCTGGCTGGATGTGCTGTAGCCCCACAAGGCTTCCCTGTCTCGAGGAAGCTGGTGCGCTGATCCAGCAGGCAGGGAGAGCAAAGCCATGCTCTCAACTATGGCACAGTTCCAGTTCTCTGAACAGCAAAATTTGCTCACAACTCTCTCCCTTATTCTTAGATATTTTGGTCCTGCCTGTGCCCTCCTAACTCCTTCACAGCATTGATGCACCAAGGCTGTTGCTCATTTGGTTTCTATTCCCAGCAGGTGTCTTCTGCTCCAACTTATACCTGCCAGGAGCACAGAGCCCCCAAGCATCTCATCTGCTCCCCTACCTAAAAGGCAGAAACCCTTGTATGCAACTGCATGCAAGACATGAAGAGGAACAGGTGTGCGACTGGCAGCAACATTTGAGGGCCCAAAGCTCTCTCGCAGGACCAAACACATTTTTACCTTGGAAAAGGAACACAATTTCTAGCCTCCAACAGTGAAATTTTTGGGGGATATATTCACAGAAATGCTCTCCCCCGTTAGGCCTCACACAGCTAACCTCAAGGGCACTGAGTCACCTGGCTTTACAGGGAAGGGATAGAAGAAATACCCCAGCATAGTGGTTTAATTTTTCACAACTCCCTAAATCCCTTATAATAGTTGTTCTGTAATGTAGGACATAGGGGAACGCATGATGGCCTGCCACAAAGGTTTGACCGGTTTGGGCTTGGAACAATCACATTACTCGCACATGCAGACACACTAGCTTGGAGCCAATGACATCCTCGAGGACCGCACGGATGGTGAACAGGAGTGCAGATCACTCCGAGGAAAAGTGCATGCAAAGTGCACTGCTAGGACACAAGGAGAAGAAAGCATCAACTCTCCAAGCAGGGTTGGATGTCAAGCGACAGACAAGGGCAGGAGCACAGCCCTGGGGAAAGCCAAGAATGCTGAAACAGGCCTTGTGTACAGAACATGTCCTATCCTCCCCACCCTGTGCTACTGCTAAAAAAAGCAGTACTGCAACTTGGGCAATCCAACAGACTTGCTACTGCAGAAGGGGTTGCATTTTCAGGGAGGGATCCTCGGTTGTAGAAATAAGATGCCCACCTAGGTCAACAGCTAGTTTTCTGGTCTCCTGGGAACATGATACAGCCCATCTATGCCAACGAGCAGATATGGGGAGGAAACCAAGATTCATTATAATGTGAACTAGAAAGTGGGGGCAGGAATATTTTACTGGCACAAAAGGCACCCAGCAAAGTTACTGCCTGCTGTTCACTGCAAGACACCCTCCCCCATCCCTTCCACGCACGCGGCTGCTCTTTACCTTAACAGAGCTATTCTCAAACATCTCCACAGTCATTTCCTCCTCATCCTCATCCTCATCGTCCCCCACTGATTCGATCACCATCCCAGGGAACTTCTCCGCCTCACAGAACTGCAGGAAGATGGGGGCCCGGCTGGAGTTGCGCTGGATCTCCACTCGCAGGATGCCATCGCGCGGCCACTTGTCCCGCACATGTTCCAAGCAGTTGATGGGTGAGCGGGAGAAGGCAATGTGAATGTAAGCCAAGATGAAGAGCACAAAGAGGGCCTGGATACAGCAGGAAATGAGAGAGAGAGAGACCATCAGCCCAGGCCAGCACTATTCAAACCTGCTTCATTTACAAAGTGCACATTTTATACACCATTTTCTGATAAGTAGATGGACATCTAAAGCAGGCTGGGCCCAAGGCCTCAAGATTAATCCAGACCTTTCACACTCCCTAGTCTGAGCATCAAGACATTAGCACACAGACATCTCACAGACTGCTCTGCTCTTCAGCTGTACAAGGCAGAGGAAGGATCATGCCATTTATCTTAGCTAGCCTTCCTGATGAGCCTCCGGTAACCAAGCGATGCCCTGGGTGGACATTAAAGAGATCTCTTTGTACTTGCACGGGAGCAGAGGCCAGCTCTGGCATCCTTGCCCCAACCTCCCCTGTTCATACAAACACTGCACGATGATGGATGATTGCCCCCCTCCCCAGCCACCTGGGTTAAAAACCCAGAGCTGATTTCTAAAGTGTCCACCCACACCTGTGCAAGGTGGGTGTGAAATGCTTTCCAGCCTAGAAGCAATATCTGCTAGTCTGGCAGCAGCATGTGGCAGTTACTGGATTTCAATAGCTGCAACACAGTGGCAGACCTCAGCTCCAGATAACACAGCACCACATGCCTCTGGGAAGTGAATGCAGTACTGATCTGGGGCAGCAGCTCTTATCCTATCAGCTTAGTGATTTGTCTATCAGCTGGGTTTCCTGGTCCACCACAGAGTTGTGCTGGCTTACAAAAAGTGGCCCCACTTGGTTGATTTTTGCTGGCTTGGGCTATTTTCAAGAGCTCAGTGGTTAACAAACCAAACCACTCCATCTTATCAGGCTTCTCCTTTTGACCCCGAAACTCCTGCCCAGGGGAAGGATTATATTGCATGTGCACCAATGCAATCCTCAGAACACCCCCAAGGAAATGGATCTCAGTGTATTTATTTGCTAACCCTTCAGCATTCAGTTTAATATTGACAGGATATGGTGCCAACATATGACCTTTGCTCAGCAGAGTACAAGTTGAGAGCCTGCCACTGAAAAACTTTTCAAGGGAGAGCCAGGCAGTTTTAATTCTTATTTCAGAGCCCTTCACCTGACCCAAAAGAGAGCTCTTGTGCTCCTTCCGTGTCTGGAAGCACAGGCTGAACTGAGAAGTTCCCATTCCATGCTCAGAACGTGCAATTAATTGCGTTGCATGTAACCTTAGAGTGGAACTGACTCCTCTACTTCATGGCTGACGTTTCCTGGAACTCAAAATGAAACATAAAATAAAAATGTAGCAAAAGTTATTAAATTACTTTCATCTTTAATACCCTAAGGTTTTACCACGTGCAGAGAAGGATATGCTATTCTATTCTTTAAACTATGATTTCTTTTTTTAAACTAAAAATACTCCCATTAACTGGAAAGTTCCATGATTTGTCCTGGTGAGTACAGTGAGCTGATGGGTCTAGCTCCACTAGGACGCCATCGTTCTTAGTCAGTGCTAAATGTTCACACTTTATTAGACACAAGGTAATGAAATGAACAAGGCTGGTATCTTTGGAGCGAGCAGTCTAGGAATGCAATGGGAACCAAGCACAACTATCGGACTAAACGCGTCTTCAACTACTGGTGGCTCTCCTGCCAAGTGGAACTGCTTCCACGGTGTCTTACGGGCAGAACATTAAACTCCATCCCCAGGTTTCCTGGAACAGGCTCTGTTGGGTGCTGTTTAACCGCAGTGTCAGCTCACTGCCCAGCTGTCTCCTTTACTAGAATGCAGAGCACGATTTTGTAGAGGGAACAACTTAGTTAGCTGCTGTCAGGGCTGGTTAGCAATACACATTCAAGAGTTAGGAGTCCAGGCCCCCAAACATGATAACAAGTTTTCCCTTGGCCTCCTGATTTCTGAGCCTGTTGGACATGCTCAGGTCACACTTCCCAGCTTTGCTGCAACACAGAGGGCTAGAAACTAATGGTCCATTTTTTTTCATTGTCTCCATGAACCCATCCTCATCCCAATTCCCAAAGCCAATTGTTATCCTCCTTGCTCTCTCATGCCAGAGAATTGCAATTCATTCTCAGGATGGTTCTCTCGGGGACACAAAGGGGAAAACAATAATGAGCGTTTCCTAGGCACCTCCTCTGTCAGTTGAATCAAGTTATAAGCAAATGCCCCCTACCCTTTTGGGCAGTGTAGTAGAGCCAGCAAGACCTGGTGACAAATTAAATGCAAATTAATGCATAAACAAGCTACTACATTAAAAACCCACGCTCCCATTGGGCCATGAAAGGTATTAGCTCATACAGGGAGCCCAGATGGACAGCATGGGGTACACATAAGGACTGGACTTGCTAATGAGAACTGCTATCTTAAGGTGCAGCCCCCCAGCCCCAAATGTTTCATGCCCTGTCACTGCGTTCTTGCCACCTGGTGGTACCTGAGAGGGTGCAGGGTTTGAGAGGGACAGATGAGCACTGAGAAGAGCATCAGTGACCTGACAGGAAAGCCAGATACATTAAACCAGCAGTACTGAGGAAGGAGTAGGTCCCTCACTAGCAGCTCACCTGCAGCTGGAAGCCTCTGATATTTCTCTAACAGCCATCAGGTTTGTTCTCAAGGCCCTAGCATTTAGGTGAGTGAACCTGGTTCATTATCAGGACCCATCATGTTAGAAGGTCAACATTACAAGGTCTGCTATACACAGCGTTTCCAGATCACCTTCCTCTTAGTTTTGCAAGCCAGCAGGCTGCCTTTGGTAAAAGCAGAGGAAAGCTGCCAAAGTTTGCTCTGCAGGCGCCTGCCTTTGATTGGCGGCCAAGCCAACTCAACAAACTGGAAACGCAACTTGAGCTCAGGTAGAAAGGGTTACAAAATGTCACGGGGGCCAACATACATACAGTCTGCGCTCGGTTGGGCAGAAGTTAGCAGCAGACTGGAAGAAGGCATTCCTGAACCAGGATTAAACTGGATGGGGCAGGGATCCGCTCACAATGGGCTGGGATTGCGGACCAGAGATTAAGGAATTACAATAGTAATGGGGGGGAACCCCCAATGCTAACAGGACAGCTTCCCCCCTCCCCCACCAAAGGTGCAACTCACACCATGGAGTGTGGGTCCAGACATCAACACTGGTGTGAAGCATGCGATAGAGATCCTGGAACGCATCCCGCACACTACAGCTAACACCCAATTGCAGGCACCCCCCTCTCAAATACATTATTAGCGATCCAACTAGAAGACCAACAGCACACCAGAAAACTGAAGCAGGACCTTGCCTGCCATCATTTTGCTACAGCAGAAATTGAAAAACAACTTTTCACAGAACAAGATACTTCCTTATACTCCAAAAGGGTATGACCACTTCTCTTCCGGAAGCTGGGGGGGAAGAGAGATTGAATAACTCTAGGACTGAGAAGCACGAACAGCCTTGCACAAAATGGTACAAACCCTCCTACACTATGGTCAAATCCTCAGTACTCAATATAATCTTTGATATTGCGTTGTGCCAATCAAGCTACTGGCCTTTCTAGTGCCAACACGGGACAGAGCACAAATCCCTTTCACCACCCCCCATGACCTCTTAAAACCTTCAGCAATTGGCTTTACAACTTAGCTGCCAATACGCCTCTCAGAAGACACAAACTTTAATCCCCCAAACATCCAAGAGTGAGCACGGTGATGGACTCCAGCCCCTAATTGCCAAGGACACTTCTGGTTGGATCATTTTATGTTCCAATGTGCAGCAGACATACTCCCTCATTCCCAAAATCCTGTTACAACCTGCATGTTCACTGTGAATTAATACTAGAGTACTGTTCTCAATGAGGTATGCAGAGCACTGAAAAACTGCACCAGGCTTCATTTCTCAAACCAGAGGACAAGCCTCAGTTCTAGTTACCAAATCACCATTATTTCCTGTCCTGGCTCTCTGTGTCCACAAGTTCAGTCATTTCAAGTCAATCCTGGTGACTGGAGCCTAGCACTCAAAGCCACAGCTCAACATTTTACACAGACCTATCAGAGGGTTCATTGTTGTGGCTATTAAAAAATAATTCACTCCACTACAGAGGGTAATTAGGGTTTTTAACTCCACCTCAAACAAACAAGCTCTCTAATGAGTCAGTCAATTTAGTAAGTCACCACCCACGTAAAGGACACTTCACCCCCAGGTCTCTGGTTTCAGAAAGTAATGGAGAGATGCTTTTCAATCAGAGGAAGAGTCACAGCAGAACAAAGTGGACCAGGGACAGGATTTCAACACCCGTGTCCTGGATGACTGTAGGGTGATGTTACCCAATACCTGCAACCGCTTGTGCCGTAGTCCTCTACCCTGAGTACAGAACACCTAGAACGCAGCAATCCTCCCCGCAGCCAAGGTGTGGAGTTGGTTGCTCTCCACCTGCCTTAAAGTGTCTGATCATTGGGTAATCTAGTGGGTCACAATGATTCTTCATCCTAGATTTCTTTGCTACAGGTTACCAGACTGGCCAAACTTCACAGCTGCACTGCAACTTCATTGTGCGAAAAGCTATGGAGAATAAAGGCAGAAGATGGGTGGGACAGCCATTACTTACTAATGATCACCTACACCCAGATACCACCCTAGCAGTCCCAGTGACACCCACTGTGACAAGCACAGGGATTCACGCACACAACCGGCTACAGGGTGCTCAGCTACTGTATGCAGAAAGCTAAGATTGTATAGTTGCAACAGAATCATAGAAAATGAGGGCTGTAAGGGATCTCTGGTCCAACCCCCTGCTCAAAGCAGGACCATCTCGTGAACAGCCTTAGCTCCAGGTGTGCCAGGAATGGGGCAGAGCTCCACAGTCATGAGTTCCCACTCTGCTTCAAGATCAGCATGTCCCTCAGCAACACAAGAGACATGGGGGAAAAAAAATGGGTAAGTCCAAGGACTCCCAAATCGGCTGAGTGACAAGGCACTATTGTCATAGCAAGGTCATGACGCTGCGATGACAAAGCCACTGCTTGTTCTTTAATAACACCGCATTCGCTATGTAGGCAGCAGGAAATAGGCTGAGCTACTCCTCTCCCGACTTTGTCAATAATTATGATTAGCACACTGTAATCACCACCTTATTATTTTTAATTTCTATATTTAAACACCAGCCTGAGCACAGAAGCCAGTGGGTTTCACCCACACAGTTACAGCGTGGACTATGTTGGCACACCCCTCTGCCGAGGCCCATCACCGCACTTCCTCGATGACTAGCTTCTAGAGCTGAGACTCCTACCCTCAGTCAGGACTGCCAACAAGAACAAGATGGCACTGGCAAAGCAAGGTAGAAGGACAGGTTCTCTCACGCTCACTAGCACGGAAGAATCCCAGCAGGCACAAGACCATCATAGTCAGGATGGTCAGCGCTGGCAAACACACAGCAAAACTTTCTTCCCCCCCTCCTCCATAAAGGCAAAGCTCAAGGAAAGTGTCAAGCATCTTTCCTGAAGATAGACTGAAGCTGCCAAACCAACTCATGTAAACCCTACATCCATCAGAGAGCAGCGATTGCTGGGTAATGGAATCATAAACCTTTCCACCCAGGTCACTGGTTCCAATTCGATCCAGACTGACAGGCTATCAACCTAGGCAATCCATCCAGAACAGGCTAGAATCAGTCACCGGGATACAAAAGCTTTATCGCCTCACTGCCAGGCACACAAACCATCCAGAGCACCAATACTAAGCACCGAGATTCAGCCACATTCACGACTTCCCACCCACTCGGCTACAAGAAGCCTCTGTGTTAGAGCGCTGCCCTGACATTCACATCTGAGGACATGCAACAGACTCATCACTGTAAGAGCAGCATCGGAAACAACAAAGATCTTGCAGGATCATTTGGGGGCTGGACCCGATGATCTCACAAGGTCTCTTCCAGCCCTAATGTCTATGAAATCTATGAAATGTCTGTAATACCCACTTGAGCTTTGGCCCGAAGAGGCCCCAGGATTCTTTCCTGCCCATGGCAGAGGGTCAGACTTGATGATCTGCTCAGGTCCCTTCCGACCCTAGAAACTATGAGGCCAATATGGGGTTATTTTGGGGAACATTTTGTTCAATGCTACTGAGGCACCTGCTCTTCCTCCTCCATTTTCACGCTGGCAGGTAGAAAGAACATCCGCTAAGCCGGCTCCAGAGGTAAAGGACTGGAATCACCTTGTCAGGAGAGGGGCGTAGGATGCACAGGACACTGCAGATCCAGGCAATTGCAGCCTCTGAATTTAGATGTGCCCTAACACACCTTCCAGTTTGATACCAAGTGCCTGAGTGACGATTCACAGGAACAGATATAAAGCACCACGGCTGGAGGGAAATTCACATGTGGCAAGACACCAGACCGATGGCAAAGCTCTCCAGGGTTTGAGAGCGACGTGGTGGCAATGAGCAGCTTCCCCCTTGCCTGAAGCGGGGTGCCCGCCCGGGGACAGCCGCCCATGCCGCAGGGCCGCCCCTCACCTTGAGCAGGACGAAGAACTCAAAGATGCGGCGGAAAGAGGGTGGGAAGAGGCGGGCGTAGGTGACGGCCATCTTGAAGAAGAGAGCGTGGAAAAGGCGGTCGCGCACGTTGATCAATGGGTTCTGGTTGAGGTTGGGGTTGCGCACGCCCCGGTTGTT